CTCTGGGAGGGCAGCAGGGATGGTGGTGTCCAGCCTGGTGTCCCCTGTCCTGTGTCCATCCCTCCTACTGCTACAGCCCTCCTCGGCTCCCTCCTCACTCCTTGGGGCCAGTGAGGGCCGTCCCCTCGCCATCCTCTGGAGACAAGCCACTGCTCCTCCCCATCCTTTCCCACCCAAGCATCACAGGACATTTTTATAAATTGTCCCAATTTTGGGGTAGAAAATGAGGTCAGGAGGCCCAAGGGGGAACTGCTTGTTGGTGACAACTGACAATCTTCATTTCACCTTCAAACTCCTTCCTGGTCTAGGTGAGCTTGTCCCAAGCCCACTTTTAGAGGGGCACTACTATATTGGGGGTCAGGGAGAGCAGGGAGGGAATTAACTAAATGGCACTTGTGGTCATAGACCGACCCCATCATGCCACCTACAACATTTGCAGGGCCTGGGGCAAGAGAACCAATGTACCTTCCTAACAACCTGGAAGAACAAGTTCAAATTCAGATTTCTCTGCCACTTAGGAGTTATGCTCCAGAATGACACTGTGGTGTAAAGAGAGACAGCTCCTTTCTCCCTCTAGCCCCAGCCACTCCCTACCCGCTGCCAGGTCCCACTGCCAGGTCCTTTCTGTGCAGCCAGGGACTTCCATGCATGGACCAGACACCCAGCCTTGCGTCCTAGTGCCATTCACACCTGCAATCAGCCACCCTTTCATCTGTCCCTCAGGCCTACAGGTGCACTCTCTAGGGGCACGACCAGCCCTCAGGAGAACGGATTCAGAGAACAGTGGCTCAGACTGGGATCCAGCGAGAGCATCCCAGCAGAGGCCTCCCAAGCCGCAGGTCTGGAGAGCGGAGTCCTGAGTCACATTCACCTCCTGGACCCTGGGGCCTCCTGACTGGAGTGGAGCCCTTGAAAGCGTCCAGCCTAGGGCATGGGCACCTCCTCCCTTCACCAGGTTTAAGGGTGCTACTGGACCCAGCCTTCCCTGGGCTCTGGCCAGGGACTGAAGCTGTCTTTCCATTGGAGGGCAGCTTGGACAACCCCCAGGCAGGACTTTCAGTCACTCGTATTATTTATCTTCCTGGAAAAATTTAGTGCGGCTTGATCCCAACTTTCGGATTTCTGGAGGCAGGGAGGGTGGGGAGGTAGTGCCAACTGGGCACTTTTTTCTCAAGTTGGGTCTCCAAGCCAGAGCTTGTTCCACTGAGGCACGGCCCCAAGTGGGCTCCTGCTGCTTACTGGTCCCTGCCCTGGCCGGGGCCCTCTCCCCACCCTGGAGATAAAAGGCAACACAAACAGAGTGACTAAGCAAGGAGGTGAGGGGCCCTGGGTAGCCCAGACATGGCCAGAGATCCAGACACCAGCAGGGGGCAGGGGCTAGTGGGGGTGATGATGAAGGCCATCATTCTCCTCTGGCCAAACTTTAAAAAAAATTTCCACCCCACCCCACCCCACCCCCTACAGATCGGCTTTGCTGTCCTACACATGAGGGGACACTTGTTGAGCCTCACCAGGCACCAGGCACCTTGCTAAGCATTTTACATGCGTATTCTCCTTTAATCCCTGCAACCACCCTATGAGGTGGATTCTATTATTATCCCCATTTTACAGGTGAGGAAGCAAACTCAAAGGTTAAGTACCTTGCCCAAGGTCAATGAACCCTCCAACCTCTACTTTTTCCACTATAGCACACTACCTCTTAGCAAGGGATTGACACCAAAGCAGAAAGGATGAAGGTCAGATAGGAGGAAGAACTTCCTAACAATGATGGTTTGTGTGGGAGGAGACAATAAATAGAGGAATCTAGATAGAAAGGGAAGCCCCTTTCTCCCAGTTGTGACCTGTTTTTGTCCAAAGGCTGTGATGTTCTCTGGAGGGTCCCTGGAGTCCCACCTGGAACCACATACCAGCACTGCCTCTGCTCTGTTCTGCAATCCAGGACTCTCGGCTTCACCCCAACCCTTCATCAAGACCCAAAGTTTGCCTCTCCTTTGTGGCTCAGAGCTCTAAGTGTCACATCCAAGCTGTCAGCCTGGGATCTCCTCTGCCAGGAAGCTTTCTTTGAGGTCCTGGGAGGCAGGATCCTTTTCCAAAAGCCCAAATCYCAATAGTGGGGGTGCAGATGCACACCCTGTTTGCAATAAGGCCCCCATGTGTGATTGAGTCCACTGCCTGGCTCTGGTAGATGGCCACTTAGTCGTATCCCAGGCCAGGCTCTCTGGGTTCACCTCTCTCTCTCACACACACATCTGTACGCAGATGTAAATAAATGATGCAGGTGTCCTGGGGCTCACAAGAAAACCGAGGCCCCAGCTCAGCTGTGCAGTGGCTCCTACCTCACTTACCCACAGAACAGACCCTGCCTGGTCACCCCGCACTCTCTACCKCAGGGGAAGAGGTTGAGCCTGGATGAGGCACCGGGCACCCTAGGTCAACAAGGTTGCTCACTCCGGAGCTCTACAGTCACCCCCTCCCCATAACCTGCTCTCTTCCAGAAAACTGGGGTGCCCAATGCCGAGCTCAGTCCTTTCTCAATCCCTCCAAGCCCCGCGCTGCATCAGGAGATCTAGCCGGGACCCTCAAACTTCCTCAGAGTTCACTAGCACCCAATAGATGCTCAGTGTCCGTGCACTAAGCCCAGACAGGGATGTCCTCACTTGTCCCTTGAGGTCCCCCAGGTTCGAGACGAGAGGACGGGGCAGGTAGAAGGAGCTGCCTTTTTCTACCGTGCTGCCCTCGAGGTCCTCGGCGTGGACCAGCCCGCGTCGCGGTCTTACCTGAGGGGCAGAGACGCAGCCCGCAGCGGCCACCTGCTCTCGCCTAGCTCAGAGCGCCGCGGCTTCGGGCCGGCAGGAGGGGGCGTGGCCAGGTTGGGGGCGTGGCGGGTTGGGGCGGGGCGAGGAGGGTCGGCCCAGCTCCACCCCCGTCTCCGCGGGGTGGGGTGGGCCGCCACTTTCAGGTGGGGAGGAAGGGGGCGCGTCCGGGCCGCTGGGGAGGGCCAGGAGCTCTGGTTCTTCTGAGGACCGAGGGGCTGGGTCACATGGATCCTGAGGACCCCATGAAATCCCCGCTTCAGGCAGCGTCTTCCAGAGGCCCTGGAGCCCCAGCGACACCCTATGAAGACCCCTCCCAGGATGCAGCGAGACTGGACACTCTCCTTGCCTGRGTCTGCCCCATCTGAACTCTAGGAAGTTTTCCCACAGGGTGGGTGGGAGATGGGACACCTCCTCTAAAGGTAGGCTCCCCATCCAGGGGTCAGCTGTATGGGGACTTAGGCCACTGAGAGGGCAGTTAGGTGCCCAGATCATCTTTATCCTCACGCATCTCTGCCTCTGCAACACAAATCCGCCCCCCCCCCCAACACCAGCGCAGGTCGCTCAGCTGTCACTGTTTAGCCCTGGAATGACAGGCGTCCGGACTTCGTGAGTCCAGCCACATTCAAGGCCACTGAGCTTAGCACCTCGCTGACCCTGCCTCCCTCCCTCTGCCCCCAGTCGCTAATTTTATTGACCTGTAAAAGGCACGTTGCTGGCAGGGGATAATAACTCAAGGCACAGTGGGGAGCGGATGGGCAGAAGGGACCCAGGAGGCAGAGTTGGGACAGAAGGGAGGAAGAGGGGGACTCCTGGAGAGGAAGAGGGTCCCAGGGAAAGAGAAGTACACTCTCTGGAGTGGATGGAGGCCCAAAAGAYTGGGACTGAAATTTCAGTCCTCGATCAGAAAAAAAAAAAAAAAAGATGTTAGGAGAGGAAGAGTACATTATTTTCCATCTGAGGCAAGAGCAAGGAAAAAGCAGGAGGGAATCAGGTTAGATGGCAGGAAGGACCATCATCCTGCTGTCACATCTCTGCTCTAGTCTCCTCCCTTCCTCTGAAGGTGACTCCTGCCTGCTGGGCCTCTTACTACAGAAATAGCCCTTTCCCTGAAGAATCAACCTAGATCTTGCCTTTTTTTTCTTATTAAAATGAGAACAAAAAAATTTAGGTCTTTGTAATTGCCCCCACCCCCATAATTACCTGAGCCCACCTCTTACATCCTGGATCTCTACCTTTCCCCAGTCAGGGGGAAGATGACCTGAGGGTTAAGGGAGGAAGGGTTGAATCTGTTAGGGGGTTAGAGGAGGAGGAAGGCCTCACATACTTGATAGGCCTTGACTCGAGACTGTTTTAATGTCTCCCCTTCACCCAAAAGCTGGGGATCGAACTCAGGGCCTTGCATGTGCTAGGCAAGTGCTCCACCATTGACCTATACYCCCAGGCCCTTAAATTTAGATAATTGATGCTGTTCTGAATGAGTCTATATGATAATTCCATTAAAAGACTTTTAACATTAAACATTACCAACAAGCAGATCAGTGTGTGGGGGCAGGGGTAGAAGGAAGCATTATAATGGGGAATGAGGACAATTTGAGGGTGATAGCTCTGTTCAGTTTTTTTTTGTTTTGTTTTTGGTAATGGGGTCTAACCCAGGGATGCTTTATCACTGAGCAACATGGCAAACTCTTAATTTTTTTGAGACAAGTTCTCATTCAGTTGCTGAGGCTGACCTCCAACTTGTGATCCTCCTATCTCAGTCTCCCAAGTCATCAGGATTACATTCAAGCACCACCATGCCCAGCTATGTTCCTATCTTGATTGTGGAGCAACATACATGTTAAAACAGAAAATCGCATATTCTAAATACATGCAGTTTGTTTCCTATCTATTATACCTTAACCAAGTTAATTTTAAAATCTACACATGGCTGGGAGCAGTGGTGCCCACCTGGATTCTTAGCAGCTTGAGATACTGAGGCAGGAGGATCATGAGTTCAAAGCCAGCCTCAGCAACTTAGTGAGGACCTAAGCAACTAAGCAAAACTCTGACTCTAAAATATAAAAAAGGGCTGGGGATGTGGCTTAGTAGTAAAGCACCCCTGGATTCAATCCATGGTACCAAAACAAATAAAATACTACACATTTCTACCCATTTTTCCATTTTATTTTTAACTTTATGAGGAGCCCCAAGAAAACAAATGGCTTTGGCAGGAAAGAAACGTTATTCCTAGTACAGTATGGCAATTCTCCTGCCTCAATTTCCCCAACTCCATCCAGTGCAAATGTGTGAGAGAGTGAGAGGAGAGAGAGAGAGAGAGAGAGAGACAGAGAGAGACAGAGAGAGAGACAGAGAGAGAGAGACAGACAGACAGACACACCAACACAACAGAGACAGACACAGAAAGGGCGAGTATATGTGGGTCCATGGGCCTGGGGCTGAGCTGTGGCCTTCTAGTTGCTTCCTTATTGGATTTGAAGACAACCAGGGTGCCCAAGGGTTCTTTTGTAGCTGGTCAGCACAGTGCCCAGGGCTGGTGATTCAGGAAGGAGAGGCTTGGACCAAGGCTTTTCCCAGAGAAAGATAATGGCTGTTGTGGACTCTACTKCCCCCTGCAGTTTAAGTCAGACATTGCAGGATGAGGTAGTCATTCCAGGGAAAGATCAGACAGGCCCGGGGCACAGTCTTGCAGGATGTTGAAGTCAGCCACTGGGAAGGGCACTCGGGACCATTTTTTGGCCTGGATCCGCCCTCGGGGGGTCTCCAGCAGCATGCTGCGGATTCTGAGTGCTGGTAGATTCACGGACTTGTAGATCATCTGCAGACCCCAAACCTGGGGGTGGGACAGAGTGCAGGATCTGGTCTCTGCCTCAGATTGGGCTCCTCTCCTCAAGGTAGAATTCTGTGTTAGTCCTGCCTCCCACTCGAGATTGGGAGTTAGCACCCTCATCAAAATGTGGGCTCCAGACCACCTTCCTCAGACTGGGAGCTGCTGGGGCAGGGCTGGCTCCCTCTTCCTAATGAAGGTTCCCTGGGGGCAGACGCTAGGCCTTCTCCCACATGAGGGCTTTTGCAGAAGGGCTCAGAGCTCTGGGGACTGGGACATGGCCCAGGCACTTACCTCACCACAGTTCCTGCAGCTAATGGTACCCCCTGGTCTCCAGTCCTTAAAGACTCTGTCAATGACCACGGGCTCCCGGGAGACATTATAGTAGATCCTGAAGGGGAATGGGAGTGGCCACAGCCCTTATGGACCCACTCTACCCAGACCTCATGCCCTCTAGTTGGCTGAGCTTCTGCCTCGGTCTTGGGCATGCCTATCCAGAGGCACAGAATTCCCAGGGCCAGGAAATCTGATCTTCAATAAGCTCTGCCTGTGTGGCCTCATGCCATTCCCCTCCACCCATGTTCAGGCCTCAGCATCCCCTACCTGGAAAATTTCAAAGTCTGACGGATCTCTTCCTTCAATCCTTATTCCCGACCCCACCAACTGCAAGGAAATATCTTTCCCCACATTCCCTTGCTCAGAATCCATCCAACACTCCTCACTGCCTCCTGGATAAAGCCTGGACTGTCCAGGCCCACCTTCAACATCCATCCACCATGGGCTGGTCCATCTGCTTTTTGAACCTCATCACTCACGTTCCCCTCCACCCAGGTCAACTGGAATTATTCCCATTCTGTGTCCCATCAGCTCTGTCCCTCTGATCTTGCCACATTCAAACCCAACCCATTTGAAAGGCTACCTCCTCCAAAGAGGGAACCTGTGTGAAGATCCTTGGCAGAGTGTCCTGGCATACACCAGGCACCTAATGAATGGATGGAGGCTGGGGCAAGGTTACCCCCTAGGAGACAAAGGATGTGGGATGACTCAGGGACAACTGAGCCTCTCCTTCCTTTTTTTCCTTCTTTCTTTTTGAGCTTGGATCTTGRTTGCCCAGGCTGGCCTTGAACTCTTGGGCTTAAGTGCTCCTCCTGCCTTAACCTCCAGAGGAGCTGAGACAACCGGTACACACCACCATGCCTGAGCAGCCAGCCTCTCTTGTTGTCCTCAGAGTAGGTAGGGCCAGGGGGCCAGTTTGTGGACAGTCAACATGGGGCATGCATCCCAAACTCCAATTCTTGATCACAGTGGCCACGGAAGCTGGGCGAGTTGTTCAGTTTCTCTGGTCTCAATTTTCTCACTTGTAAAATGGGGTGAGAACCCCTGTCTGACCAGAGTACTGTGAAAGTGCAAAACTAAGCAGGGCACAGTACAGCACGCCTGTAATCCTAGCTATAAGGGAGGTGGAGGCAGGAGGATTGCATGTTTGAGGCTAGCCTAAGCCATTTAGCAAGATCCTGCCTCAAAATTTTACAAAAATAAAAAGTTCTGGGAATGCATCTCATGGGGGTAAAGCACCCCTGGATTGGATCCCCATCACCATACATATATGCTAAAAAAAAAAAAAAAAAGAAAGAAAATGCAAAATCAGTACCAATTCAGTACTGATTAAAGTGTTCTTTAACTCCTCAAGGCACTGTCTGGATAGAAGAGATTGGCAGTCCCCCATCCTACCTACCTCCCTCCTTCCTTCCCATCCCCTTCCACAGGTCTTACGAGAAGTTGGGGTTCACATTGACGTGGTGGGTGCCCTCTACTTTCCGCARGTCACTCCCATGGCCCACTGCCGCCATACAGTTGATGCAGAGTAGTTGCACATGCTCCGCTGAAAACTGCTGCCTCTGACTTTCCTGTTGGGCGGCCCGGGCTGCTCGCTTGATCAGGGCTGCCTGCTGCAGATCCCGGATCTGGGAAGGGGATACCAGGGTATGGCTGGGGCCCATAAGACCTGACTCCAGGAATGCTCCAGAGGCCAAAGGCCTCCTCAGATAATTTATACCCAGAAGGAACTTTCCTTAATCTTCCCAGGAGGTTTTGAAACCCTGTGAGAAAAATTTTATGGGGATGGGGGAAGAGTAGGTTTCATACTGAATCTCTGTCCCCTCTTTCTAGGATTTCATGCAAAGCTGTTTGTTTGTTTTGGTTTTGGGGTACTAGGGATTGAACTCGGGCACTCAACCCTGAGCCACATCCCTAGCCCTATTTAGTATATTATTTAGAGACAGGGTCTCACTGCGTTGCTTGGCACTTAAGTTGCTGAGGCTGGCTTTGAACTTCCTGCCTCAGCCTCCTGAGCAGCTGGGATTACAGGCATGTACCACCACTCCTGGCCAAAGCTGCTTCTTGAATCTGTCAGGGGGCATCAATAATTATGCTGGGACAACAGGCACAAAGCAGGACCACTCTGGACAAGGCTGGATGAGGGTGATTTTGCCTCTGGAGAGCTGACACAGTCCCGATTCTGGGCTTGTGTTGCACATGTGCCTTCTCTTCCCCTACCCCGCCTGGTTCCAGAAGGACTCACAGATATAGAAAGTGTCTAGTGGTAAGGGTAAATGAAAAGCCTCAGACATGGCCCTTTGGAGACAAGCACTGCCTTCCTAAGCAGCCCTGCCCCTGACCCCTATCTTTTTCTAAAGGATCCAAACCTCCCCCTGGTGAGCAAGGCTAGCTGCCAAGGGAAAGGAACACACGGGGAGTGTGTACACAGACCTGCCAGGTGCAGGTTTGGATGGTTCAGAAACAGCCTGTCCCTCCCCAGACAGCCCACAGACCTTGGCCTGGTACTCGGCCTGGTCCATCCTCTGCACAGCTGCCACTGCCTGCTCCATCAGAGCCTCCAGCGCCTCATTGGTCAGCTCCCTCCGCAGTTCCCGACTGCCCTCGGTCGCCACAAATGAGTACAAGCTCTGACCAGCCCGGGCTCGGCCCCTTGCCTGGGGAGGAGGAAGATGAGGAAGAAAGCGGGAGGAGGAAGATGAGGA